TTCATTCCACCCTTATCCCCTGTCTCCACCTCTCCCGCCAAAAGAAATTAAAACTTTCAAGTGCCTCCATTTGATACTGTGTTTACCATAAGCCCTGAGTAGTCATGGATTCTCTTTCTTGAATTTTCGCTGACAAACTGCTTCCAGCTGCCCTCTCGGATGGGACCACCACAATAAAATGTAGTGTTTGCTGAGGATTTCAGCTGCCACCGGGGGGCTCAGTGTACTCAATGAATGCTATTTGGCAAGGCTAGTGGTGAAATGGTGACAAATGGTATGTTGCATGTTGATTTTTGATTTTTTTTTTTTTTTTTTTTTTGGTGTTTGTGGTTTAGGACTAGTTGGTTTCAGTCTTGCTGGCTCTTTCGCCTGTGTTACCAACCTTTTCCACATTTAAAGTCTGTTACTGCCTCTTCTCCAGAGTTATGGCAGCAAGCTTTGTGCTGTTGACAGAAGCCATTTTTTGGCTAGATGGTTCATATTTTAGACTACTGGCAAATACTAATTTTATAGTTAGTCCGTATCTCAGAATTTATGGGGATGTTTTCAAGGTTTTTTTCCAGCTAGCTAAACAATTTTTCTTCATTAAGTTATCACTCCACTCACATGAAGTGACCTGGACTGTTACTTCTTTTATCTCTGGTCACACCCAGTAAAATTAGGCTTGTTTGCATATGATTAGCCATAGACTGGTCCACAGCTGAGCCGAGCTTGCTCTGCAAACATCCCCGGTGCTTTGCTGGTTAGTTGGACCTTGCCTTAGGCTCAGCCCCTGACATGGCAGCTTCCCCGTCCCTGGAAGAGCTGCCTGGCCGTGGCTCTTGAAGGCTCTCGTCTTTGCACACGTCTCCTCAGCCTCAGCTTCCTCCCGTTCACTTCCCACTCCTTGCACAGACTTCCTCCTCTATCCCTCTTGGTTCTAGAACACTTCCACTTACTAAGAACACTTATTTTTCCTTCAAGATCTTGAGCTGGCTATTGGCTGAACTAAAAAATGGAAAGGATGAGGAGAGCTGGGCACCGAGAGACCAATTAATTAAACTGTCCAAAGGTCCTGAGAAAGGACAGCTTCCACCCCACTCCTCAGGAGCAGTCTTGGACTCTTGCTCATTAGAGGGAAATGAAGTAAATTTCACCAAAGACTTGTCGAGGAATTCTAGCAAGCCCTTGGACAGCAGGCTTTGGCTGCTGGGTTAGCTTTCCACTTCCAACTGTAAAGAGATCTGAGAGCATTTCTCCTGAAAGGAGATATCATGGGTCAGGGCCCTTTCTACACACTTCATATCTTGCTCACTCCAGTACAGCAAGGTCAGGTGGCCATCTGAAGTGGAAAAATGATTTTCCTACAATCCAAAGCAAGCTTGGGGTACAATCTAAAAGCAACTTAAACTATTTGCACAGTTCTGTGCTATTTCATTAATTAGTACAAACCTGCACGTACCCAGGCTGGGACTTGGTCTCAGTGCTATTCCCCAAGCCTAATCCCAGCAGTGCGCCTTCCCAGAGCTCTTCCTTCCTCCAAGCTCCAAATCTCCCTTTTAGTATCAAATCAATTCAAATTAAGCTTTATTTAATGTCTACTGTGTGCCTACTCAGTCCGGTATGGTAGTCAGCCACATGACCTCAAAAATTACCCCACAGGGCCGGCCCCATGGCATAGGGGTTAAGTGCACACACTCTGCTGCTGGTGGCCCAGGTCTGGATCCCGGGTGCACACTGATGCACCACTTGTCAGGCCATGTTGAAGTGGCGTCCCATATAAAGTGGAGGAAGCTGGGCACAGATGTTAGCCCAGGGCCGGTCTTCCTCAGCAAAAAAAGAGGAGGATTGGCATGGATGTTAGCTCAGGGCTGATCTTCCTCACACACACAAAAAAATTACCACACAGAGTGATCAGGACAACAATAGAAGCAGGGTAAAATTCCCTCTTCTCCAAACACACGAACCCCACCTCTGTAGCACCCTTGTTTCTGCCCCCGGAATTTCCCCAAATCACACACACACACACCCCAGAATCAACAAGTCATGCTGAGGGTACAGAACCCACATCCATATTTCCAGACTCTTTTACCCTCTCAGATCTCTTGCACACCTAAAGCCCAGACACACGGGGTTTACTCCCAAGTCATTCACTATTTTAGAGGAGGGAGTGTTTTCCACACCTAGATGTGGACTTAACAGGTCCTCTCTCACATCTACATGCAGAAGGCTCAGTCCTTAAGTAATTATGAATCTATCGCTGAAAAAAGTGAGCGACCCAATCATTTTTTGACTATTAAGATCAAAAGGTGGAGACGGCAGTGCAGGTCACCTGAAACATCCAAAAATTCAAAAGCTTTTCTAGTCTAAAAGCATCAGGTGATTTTCTTCCAGCAAATATATTTTCCTGATGATGTTCTGATTGAGAGGTCATTAGAATAAGTGTCTACAACCACTGGTAGTCTGGAAAATGACCAAGATGACTTCTGAGTGGCACAGTGAGAGCATGAGATTAAAGCCTGAGATTAAATGCATCTGCTGAAGGTAAACTACAGAATTGATCATGAAGACTTAATTCTGTGTTTTTCTGAGACTCTATGACCAGATAAGGTAACCTACATGCTCCCAAGTGAGGGAAGGAAATTTTTTGGGAGACAAAGCTTAATGGCCTCAGTATTGGCACCAAATGTCTTCTTATAGAGCAAGTCAATTTTAAAGTCTTGCTCATGAGATAAGCTGGATCAGACTGCAGGGGCAAGAAGTGAAGAGTCAACGAAATGTATAGACTATGTTTCCTACAGGCACTCTCCTGTAATAGGCTGTCAAATCAGCCAATGTGCATTTACAGTGTGTCCTGAGATGGAAAAGAGGCATTACACACACAAAAACAATGGCACAGACTCCCTGACCTCAAGGAGCGTCAAGTCTAGACAGATGTAGAAATCCAATACCTTTATTGAAGACAGACTGCTGGGAGAGTGCAAAGGAAAGAAAGATCAACTGAGCCAGAGGACTCTGGGAAGGAAGCCTCCACAGAAGCAGCAGCATTTGCATTCAATGTTGAAGAATGAAAAAAAAATTCAATAGAGAAAGAATGCAAGGAAAGTAATTCTAGTCACAGGGCACTGTAAGAGCAAAGAGCTGTGAAATGCGTGCTATACAGAGCAGAAGAAAAGCAGGCTCTGTGATTGGGCCCCTGGGTGCGTGAGATGTCACTGGAGTTGAGGCGAGAATGAAATCCGATGCCAGGCTGTGCAGGACTTCTAACGCCACGCTAAGAAGTTTAGCTATTATCCTGAAGACAGTGAAGCCACCACCTGTTTTTCAGGAGGAGAGTGACATGATTCAATCTGTGCTTTAGGAAAAAACTTGGTGACCGTTTATAGAAAGATGGGAATGGAGAGGAGATAAAAGTGGGAAGACCATTCAGGACACCGGCCCCAGGCAAAATCCAATGAATTTAAGCACGTACCTCCTTTCAGCATGGCTCTGCAGATCTGCCCCTCCCTCTGAAAGCACACAGAAGGGTTGAGCTCCCTCCCTAACACCATAGCCCTCCTACAGCTGAAGTTAAACACCCTCACACCCCACCCCATTCTGGTTGCCTTCCGAGGTGCATGCTCTGCATTGCTGCTCCTCTTAATTTTTAGCTCCTATTTGGCAAACATACTGGAAGGATATTTGAAAAATAAATGTTACGTGTTACGGAGTGCGATTACCAGTGACATGGTTATTTTCTTCTTCATTGTGTGTTTTCAAGGTTTGGGCACTGACCAAGTGTTACATTGGAAATTTCATCACGATGTTTAATGTTGTGTATCCTGTTCTGGCGATAGTGTGAACACAGCATTGCCAGTATCACCTGTGTTTGGAATATTGCCCTTTCGGTATTACAATCTACGATTGTACTTATCTTTTTCAAAGCCACTTAACACTTTTGGCTTATATAAATCTTGTAGTTAACTAAAAGCCTCAGGTCTTTTTCACATGAAGTGTTGCTAAATCATGAAATCTCCCATCCTATCTTCATCTTTATGAGTCATTAAGATATAAATCCTTCCTACAGTAGTAAAGGGTGCTGGTGTATCAGTCTACTTAAATAACCAGCATACCTTTTAAAGCAGGCTGTCATAATCTAATTCAAATGGTGAGAATTCCAGGGGCCATGCCAGGCCTCGTCTAAGGCATATGCTTTGTGTGCAGAAGAAGCCTTTTGACTCTGGCTCCTTCTACCTCCCATCCATCCATCATGGAGCCACAAAATATTTCTTGAAATATTACCTCCTGCAGAAATTAATATGTAAGAAAATTCAAGGTAGTAGAGGGAGGGGGATGGTAATGTTTATTTCTTTTGGGTGTTAAATACAAGGGGATTGTTTTATTTTATATCCTCTTGTATGTATGAAGTATTACATGATAAAAATTAAAAATATATAATAATTTAAAAGTAATATATAGGGTTGGTTTAAAGTGGGAAGAAAATTCTCAATCTCCCTTGAGTTTTGAATTTAAAAAAAAGAGGTAATGGAGAAAAATGAAGAGGGAGAAAGCATTATATAAGCGAAAGGAAAGGAAGGAGAAAAAAAGATTTAAGATGGAGAAGGAAAATGAAAGTAAGAAAAAAGATACAGGCCTGGAAGACAGGCAGAAATAGTGGAGTGGAAGGAGGGTTTGGTTGGCTGGGGAGCACGGAATGAGGTGGGAGGCTGGGCCAATGAAGATGCTGAGTACCCACAGCACTGCAATGATGGGGGTAGGGGGATGGGAGCAATGGAAAGCTGCCTCGGACCCTCCAAAAGCTGTCAGCAAATTCATCCTACCCTTTGGCCATTGGTCTCAGCCATCTAAGAGAGTCAGCCTCCCACTGATGTCCAGACCATGGCCCATAGCCAGGAGGCACTGACACCAAGGTCTGCTAATGTGTTCCGCCAGGCATCTCTCACAGTTCTGGCACTGATTCTCCAAAAACATTAGGCGTCTCCCATGTGACTCAGCATGCTGTCCTTCCTTCCCTTCCCCAGGGCCTGAGCAGCAGCCTGCTTAACTGTGACCAACAAGAGCCCTGCAAGCCTCAGGAGGCATGGCCAGGTCCTCTCGGTGAAACCCGCCAGGTGGGTGTGCAGTGACTATCTGAGGCTTTCTTGGCCACACTGGGACTCCTAACTTCAGGGGAAAAGGTGTGTTGCCCTCTCCCCCACACACAGCATGGCAAAATGCCACTTGGGTTAAAGAGTTACGTGTTTTAAAAAAATGAAATCATAAACATATACATGGCTCAGATAAGTAAAGTAAAAAAAGTGAGTTGTGTTTAAAAAAAAAAAAGAAAGAACAAAAGAAGAAACAAGGACAGAAGACCAGTACAGTAGACAGTCTAAACCACATGGTGTACACCATGAAACGACGTTACTATTTCTTCAATCTCTGCCTTCAAACCTTCCTTTCCAATCTCTCCTTGGGCTGAACACACAACTCTTTAGTCACTCAGTTTTAAGAGCAGCCTCATTTTAGTCATTAAGATTCTATTTCAGGTATTAAAAAGCAGGCCAGGCTAAGTCAAAGATTAATTTCACATCCATTCCAAGACTGTTCTCCTCTGTCCATCTCAGGCCAGACTTGTGGCCCAAGGGTTAGTCTGGGAAGGAGGAGTCAAGTGCTCCTTTTGCATGGTACTCCTCCTCTCCCCCTCTCTCTGCTGCTTCTAACCACAGCCCCGTCCTGGTGTTGAGGGGAAGGAGGCTAACAGAATAGGGCAAAAGTACTTTTACATAAGTCCTGCAGCATCATCCCATCTTGGCAGTTGTGCCCTTGTGCCCAGAGGGTCCACATGTGTGGGTTCTTCTGGAGACCTTCTGGGGTCTCACCATTGCACTATTGTCTGATCCAGGAGATGAACTCAAGGTAATCTCTTCTCACAGCCACACCCCTAGGCTCCTACCCAGCTGTGCCCACCACAGCCTCAGGGTGGGGGTATGGGGGCTCCTCACCCACCAGCCATCTTGGGTAGGACACCATGAAGATGGCAAGACTCAGTTTGAGTCCTTAGAGCCCCTCATTTGGCTGTGAGGGCCAGTAGGAGGAGCACCCCAAACCACACATTCTCTTTCTATGGATCTTTCTTATGCATGGATCCCTTTGGCACTCTGGCAAAACTTATGGACCCTTTCTCAGAATTATGTTTTTTAAATTTATAGAATTTAACTATAAATTTATAAAATAAAATTTATAAAATAAAATGCAGTATTACAAAGGAAACTAATTATATTAAGACGCACCTATCAAAAACATTTTTTAAATTTGTAGTCTAATATGTATGCTGCTTTATTAACACAGTATATAATAAGTTCTAGCAGTAATTTCTAAGTACTAATGAGTATAAATGATATTTTGAGAGATCTGCAACAACTGTATGTGATACGAAAATACCTTTGGTTTCTATTGGTGACAAGGTTACGGTTGTTGCTAATACTACCAGAGTTTGTTGCCTACATTCATAATGGAAGGAAACGCTAAATTTCAGCTAGAAGACAGTGAAAATAAGGACGGACTGTTTTTCCCATGCACGCTCATGGACACTCTGAATTCTATCCACAAATCCCTGAGGACTCCAGATCAGAACCCTCGCCCTAGACCGAGGACTCCCTGCTCCAGGGAACCTCCTCTCACAGCATTTCTGCCTCTGCTTATAACAACAGCGGAGGCAGGTGGCCGCAGGGCCTGTTTGCTGGCCTCCTGGTGAGGCTTGCAGCTCTCTAAGACCGGAGAAAATTAAAGCCAGTAGTCCTCAGCTTTGGGACACACAACTCAGAAAAAGTCCACTAAGCGACCTGTTACTGTGAATTCAGTTCATGCTCTACTTTCAGGAAAATATTCTGGAATTGATACTCGGTTAACAGTGATTACCTCTGGGGAGTGGAGATAGAGGCTGGGAGGAGGGAAGGGGAGTTACTTTTCGTGTTAAACTGTTTTGTACTATCTGAAAAAAAATTAATAAAAAAACATATTTTGTTTATATGATGAAAAACAAGCTTTAAGGAAAACTTTTAAAGTTTTTCTAAAGGAAACTGTATGTGATTTTAACTGATCTAATGTCAGTAAGGGATTTCTAAGCATAAAAGAAATAGAATAAGTATTGGGGAAGGTTGATAGATTTGACGACACAAAAAGATCTGTCAAAACACAATGGTATCACAGACAAAACTGAGAGAAAAATAACAAACTTGAAGAAATATTTGCAACAAAAATTACAGAAAAGCAGCTAGTAGTCCTCTATTATGAAGCAATCTTATAAATCAATGAGAAAAACAGTAACACACCATAAATAGCTGTTTTGGACTCTTCAGTACCCTTCCTCCTTCTTTCTGCCCTGATTCCACCATATCCACCTCCAGAAAACAATTGAGCAACAAAAGACAGGGAGAGAATCCTAAATATACAGATTAAATCCCAGGAATAAGAGATGGCTGAGGCTACTTCTTTTATTCCCAGTTCGGGAATTCCCAGTTCCCAAGGCTTGGTTTCTGACCACTGGTGCTTCAAGCCAGATAAGGCTTGGAGGATACTGGACCGAAGTGGATCTGAGCTTCTACACTGGAAGGAAAATGAGTTAACCTCAGAATCTCCATTCTAGGTTGTATCTAGAGATAGGTAATACACTCACAGTAAGGATGCAGGAAAATTTCCTAAGAAATAAACTATTATGCTCACTTGCACTTGGCCTTCTGGAACAGCATCATGCCATGTGGGAAACAGCATGGGCTTCAGAGGTCAAACAAACTTGGACTCAAGTCCTGGCTCTGCTGCCCTTTACCATCTATGAAAGCTGAGCAAGTCACTTATCTAAAACTTAGTTTTCCCATCTGTGAAATGGGAATAATGCCAACCTCTCAGGGTTGTTGTGTGGTTGAGAGATAATATATGAAATCCTTACCTCACACCATACACACAAAAAGACTCCAGAAGATTCAAACAAATAAATGTCTAAATAAAACATTAGAAATATAAGATAATATCTTTATGACCTGGGACTAGGAAAGGCTTTCTTAAATAAGGCCCAAAAAGGACAAATGATAAAAGAAAAAATATATAAATTAGACTACAACAAATTTGAAAACTTCAACACTCTAACAGACATCTTAGGAAAAGTGAAGACAAAACCTGGAAGAAGATATTTGTAACATATAAAATAAACAAAACATCAGTATATGGAACATACTAAAATTCTTTTAAACAGACTTTTTAAAGAAAAGCCAACAGAAAAATAAGCAAAGGATATGAAAAATAATTCACAGAAGAAATATTATAGCCAACAAATAGGGGGAAAAAATCTGCAACTTCACCAAAAACATGGAAATGCAAATAAATCCAGAGTGAGATAGTTCCCTCGCAGAAGATTAGAAAAACTTTAAAATTCTGATAAAACTAAGTGTTGGAGAGGATTGTGGGGAGTTGGGGATTCTTACACACTGCTGGTGGGAATGTAAATTGATTCAATCACCTAGGAGAACAATTTGGCATTACTCAGTAAAGTTAAAAATAGGCATAGCCTCTGACTGAGAAATTCTACTTCTGAGGAAACACTTGTACATGTGTGCAAAGCGGCATATAAGGGTGTTTACTATAGTGTTGCTTTTTAATAGAGATTAACTAGAACCAACTCAAATGGCCATCTGTAGAAGGAAGGATAAATAAATTGCAGCACAATCATATAATGGAATACTATACACAAGTTAAAATAAATTAACCAGATTTATATGTAGCAACACGGAGGAATCACAAAAAAAAGAAAACATAATTTTGAGTAAAAAAATACTGCAGATATTTTCATACAATATGATACTGTTTATATATTCTTAAATACCCAAATCAACACTGAATATTGTTTACAGATGCATATATCTATGTAGCAAAAGTATAAAAATAAGGCCTGGAGACATACTAAATTTCTGACAGGAAGGGAATATAGGAAAATCATTATTGTACTTTCCTATACTTTTAAAAACTTTCCCCCAAAAAAGTAGTAAATGTGGAATGCTAAGGAGAGTGCATGACCTTTATTACATGCTTGTTAAATTATAGCTAATTTTGAAATTTTTTATCAAATATAGGTAACTAAAGTGTACTTTGGTCCTGTGTCCCAAATGTGGCAAGCTGGTGGCTTCTCCCGGTCCAGCACCCCAGCTAACAGGAGGCTCTGTGTATTGCAGAACAATAAGAAATTAACATTGAGCCTCATGTTAAGCCCACGTTTCTTAACTGGGGACAATTTTGACCCCTTGGTGATGTCTGGAGACATTTTGGTTGTCACGACTGGGATGAGAGGTGTTGCTACTAGAATGTAGAGTGTTGAAGCCAGGGATGCTGCTGCACATCCTACAATGCACAGGACAGCCCCCCACAGCAAATAATGATCTGGTACAAAATGTCAACAGTGCAGAGGGTGAGAAACTCTATGTAAGCTGACAGAAACAAAAATAAATATTCATTGAACTGAATTTAATATACTAAATTTGACCACTTTTCTGATGAATCCTTTTTCCAAATTATCAAGACACATGAAACCACCTTTCTTTCTAACACTGGACACTGGGGCTAGATCAGAGAGTGTGGGTGACAGGGCTGCTCCCACCCAAACCATAACCCCTAGTTCTTTTCTTGTATCCACAGAGAAGGGAGGATGCCTTCTGCCAGAGGGGGTGCACACTCTGTATCAATTTAATTGGGCAAAACCTTATGGAATTTTTTCCAATCCTGAAAATTTATGAGGCTTGCATCCTAATTCAATCTAACACTGGCTGTTTCCAAACTAAAGGAAGCAACATAGGTATTTCTTATCAACCTCCCAGGAAATAGTTCAGCTGATCAGTCAACTAGACCTCAGATCCACACCACTAAGTCAGCTGCTCCATATTCTTAAAGTGTGATTGGCCAAATCACGCATAGAGAATGTATCAACCATGATAGATTCAGCTTCATATCACAAAACCCCAAAATACAGTGGCTTAAATAAGATAGAACTTTGTTTCTTTCTCAGTTAAAAGAAATCTAGAGGTAGGCAATCCAGGGCTAATTTGGTTAACTCCATGACGTCA